CGGCAGCCTGCCACGTTGCCCTGATGATCTTGGGACTTTTGATGGACTTGAATTAATGGCCTGTTGTGTGGTTTGGTAATATTGAGACTGTGCCTTTTCACTTGTTGAATTTGGGTTTGCCAGCCTTAGCAGCTAGCAGCTGCCTGAGTGAAGAGATGCCTCTAGCTTCAGTGGGCCGGGTACAAAGGCAGAGCTGAAGCCCAAGGTTGAGGGGCTTCAGCCCCTAGACCCTGGTACTTGGAACTTGGACTTCTAACCTCCAAAATTGTAAGAGAATAAACTCTTGTTTGTTAAAGCCATCCCATCTGTGGTATTTCTGTTAGCAGGGCACCACATAAGGACATGGTGAAACAGTGGAGCCTGTCCTGAAGCTTCTTCAATTCCTGATGGTTCCAATGCCAAACACATCCTAACAAACAACTCCTTTGCTCATTTGTTTGTTCATTCATTCTACAATTCTACAAAAGTTTATTAAACTTCTACTAAGCACTGCTAGCCAGGCCTTGGAGGTTCCATAATAAACAAGACAGACATATTTTAGTGGAGAAGAAGTAAAATTGATGGGAAAACAATCAAACACTTCTGTTTGATTAACACTTCTGACTGCAAACATTTCTGATTGATAGAATGAAGAAAGAAAGCTGAGCCCTGGCGAGAGAAGGATGGAGGCTGATTGCAGGTGGGTCAAGAAGGGTAGGTCTTGGAGATTACTTTCAAGTTGAGAACCAGAGAGTGGGAAGAGGTAATCATGCAAGGGAGTGAGGAGGACATCTAAACAGAGGACTCTATATGGAGTGGGGCTTGCTGGGACCCCAATATGGAGTAAGAGCAGTAGAGCTGGAGGATGGAGAAGCCAAAGGAGGAGGGGGGAGACTGAAGTTAAAAGGGAGCCAAATAAGGTAAGGTCTTTCTGTTAACCAGGGTAAAGTAGCCTCTCCCTGTTCCAGAAAGTAAGGAAGGTGCTCGTTCCTGATTGTGACACTCTGATGTGTGATGCCCTCACTAGATATATTCCCCTCTTTCTTTCAGTGCTTTGGTTACTTACCCACCCCAGCTCTAAAACATCACCCCAAAGCGCCATCTCCTACCTCCAGATGGTGATGGCCAGGGTGCACAGGACTCCGGTAAAGGACGGGAAAAAGAGCAAGAAGATAAACAAAGTCATCATCTGTGAGGCCCGCCAGGCTTTGCTTGGAGGTTGAAAGTTCATCATCAGGCTGATCTGAAGAGAGAAGCAGCCATCTCCCATCTGTTGCCCCCATTCCCCCAGGCTTTCCTCCCAGGCCCTCCCCAGGTCTCATGTGGCTCTGTGAAGCTGGTTGGTTCCAACTTAAGATCGACTCACATTTTTGACATAAAACATGATGAAAAGAGCAATCATTTGGATAAAGGGCAGCAGAGGGCAGAAGAAGATTCCAATCCTGAAAGGGAGAAAGGGTGAATGTCAGAGACCAGAGGAGACATGAGGGGTGGGATGCAGATATAGGGGTTTGGAGAGAAGAGAAAGAGGGAGATGGCTTCTTTCACAGCAAAGCAGGCAGTTTCTGGCCACACCCAGCATCCACAGATGCTCTCTTCCCAAAAATGGTTTTGCAGAGAATCCCACCTACATAGCCACTAAAGCAGCAGATGGTCTCTCTACAGTGCCCTAATCTAGCATGTCTCAAAGTGTAGGACATGTCCCCTCTCTACATGACCCTGCCCTCTGTGCTATTCAAGAAAGTCTGAAATCCTTCAGGGACAAGACATTTAACTGCATTGAGTTATAGCAAGAAAGGCACTCCCTCTTTCCTCTTCTCCTCTCTTCCATGCTCCTGAGGGACCAAAGAAGAAAGTCTTAGTTTGGTTCTAGATTGTCTTTAATGCCTCACAATTGCCAACTTCTTCCCCGCCCCACCTTCCTTTTTTATTTTTTTTAAATGTTATTTATTTATTTATTTATACCAACCTCTCATTTTGAAAAAGAAGGAACAGGCCTAGCCTGGGAGCCCTGGGAGGCAGCAGCATCTAGCTAGAATTTACTGGCTTTTTAAAATTTATTTGCCTTTATTTTTCCAGTTTCTTCCAAATCTATGCCAAAGGACACTTGATTTTACAACCATTTGTAACTATATAAAAAAGACTTAAAAAATTTATTTAGGTAAAGAAGTGGCAAACCAAAAACCAAGCCAGTTGCCATGGAGTCAACTTCCAACTCATGGTGACCCCATGTGTGCACAGCAGAACTGCACCACAGGGTTTTCAAGGCTGTGATGTTCCAGAGGCATGTGGCCAGGCCTTTCTTCTAAGGCACCTCTGGGTAGATTCAAACCACCAACTCTATTAGTAGTTGACTGCTCAACCATTTGTGCCACCCAGGCGCTCCAAAAAAAGTGACAGACAACTTGAAAGAAAATATTAAGTAAAAAAACACTATAAAGACTCAAAAAACCAAATTCACTGCTATCGAGTCGATTCTGTCTCACAGTGACCCCCATCGGGTTTTTGAAGCGGTAAGTCTTTACAGAAGTAGATTGCCCCGTCTTCCTTCTGTGGAGTGGCTGGTGGGTTTAAACTGCCAGCCTTCTGGTTAGCAGTCAAATGCCTTAGGCACTACACCACCTACTAAAAAAACTAAAAAACTAAACTCACTGCCGTGGTGTCAGAGCCGACTCATAGTGACCCCTCCTTGGATTTCCAAGGCAGTATCTCTATGGATGTAGATTCCTCAACCTTCCTTCTGAGGAGTGGCTGGTGGGTTTGAACTGCCAACCTTCTGGTTAGCAGTCAAATGCCTCAGGCACTATGCCCAGAGCTCCTACCCCACCAGAGCTTCTTAAATAACACTACAGACGATACATTTAAAAACACCCAGTTGCTATCGAGTCAACTCCAACTAATGGCGACCAACTGTGTGTCACAGAATGGTGTCCCACAGAGTTTTCAATGGACGATTTTCTGGAAGTAGACAATCAAGCCTTTCTTCTGAGGGTCCTCTGGGTGGCCTCAAACCTCCAACCCCCCATTAATATCCTAGAGGCCTTTGCACTACCAAGGGACTCCTCAGGTGATACACAGATTTGCCAAGAAAATAGGCAGGCCCTCCTCCCCTTATCTCTACTATCATCCTTCTTTGCGTTATTGTATGACCGTCTTTTAAATCTCACCATAAAAGGCAATATTGTCCTGAAACTTACAGAGATTAAATCTATAATTGCCACAGAAAAAGGAAAAGATGTAAGTGATTCTGGTTGTACTTGTTCGTGGTTTATCAACAAAACCCTTAAAGGCACAGGTGTAATTCTGGCCATCCCTGTTGGCAGCTTTCCTCCCTCACTGCTCACATCTCCTTTTGGCACCTTCTGTCAAATGGTCACAGAATGAGGACTTTGGCTCCGGAATTAAAGACACTTAGCCCAAAATCAGCATGGAATACCTATTGATATCTATCAAATAAGGTCCCTGGGTGATGCAAACAGTTTGTGCCCAACTACTAACTTAAGTGTTAATGGTTCAAACTCACCCAGTGGCACCATGGAAGAAAGGCCTGGCAACCTGCTTCAGGAGAGATTATATCCAAGCAACCCTTTGGAGCAGTTCTACTCTGCAACACAGGGGACTGCCAAGAGTCAGACTCTGACTTTTTAAAATGTAATCACTCCAGTAGCCCCACCAGGTGACACATCAGTGAGTGAAACAGGCCAGGTATAAGAAACACAGCCCTCTCTACCTTCCTGTATTTTCCCCTTCTGTTGGGAATCAAATGAAAAGCAATGTTTTCTACTCTAAGAAAACTGACAGTATAAGGGTGATGAGAAATGGCAAATCCATGTTGGGGAGGAAACAGTTCCAGGTGCTGAACGGGGCAATCTGAAGCCACCCAGGAGTTGCTGGGTGGTGCAAACGGTTAATATTCTCAGCTACTAATAGAAACGCTGACTGTTCAAGTCTCCCCAGAGGCACCTCAGAAGAAAGGCCTGCAGATCTACTTCCAAAAACTCAGTCCTTGAAAACTACAGAGCACAGCTCTATTCTGACACACATGGGATGGCCATGAGCTGGTTTCAACCCAATGACAACTCGTTTGGAGACCCTCATCCAATTTAAGGCTCAGGCAAACATTACTATGAAAGAAGATGGGCCAAATCTTTCCTTATTTGAGAGAAGCCAGAAATTTTAAATTTTATGTAAACTCTCCTGATCTTTTAATATTGGTGGTTAATTTAAATTTTAAGAAAAAGCACCCTGTGGAATCAGCAACATCTGTAGGCTGAGCCCTGATCTGTGTTGTTCTTGTCTGAAATCCTCATGATCTCATAAAGGAAAAGAATAATCTGAATCTACAGTCATGGTTCTCAAACTGCCTGCAGAGATTTAGAAACAGCAGATTTTAGAGCCTTGCCAACAAGACTCTGAGTCCACAAGTCAGGTGAGAACCAGAGACTTACCACACCAGGGTCTGTGCATAGATCAGTTCCAGAACATTTCTGGCAATGTCAAACTCCTGCAAGCCCAGGCTTGTGATAAGTCGCTTTCCAATGATTCTGCAAAAATGTGCTTAGTTTAGTACCTAAACCATCAATTTCTTCCTTCAGAAGATGCCCCCACAGACTGTATCAAACAACAAAGGAAATTCTCACCGGCTGGGAATAAAGTGTAAGTTCCCTTGTCGATTTTTTTTTAAAGTTCTAAGTATAAGCATTGATGCCATTCCACACAATGTAACAGCTCTCTTCCCACTTCTGAAAGAAGAAGCTTTGAGAAACAAAGCTTCTCGTCACAATTGGATCCTGCATTTGGCCAAGTCATCAGTGAGCAGCCTGCCATGTTGTCTGCTGATCCTGGGGCTGTTTCTGGACTTGAACTAGTGGCCTGCCATGTTGTTTGCTAATTTGGGGATTGTGCCATTTTATTTGTTGACCTTGTGTTTGTCAGCCTCAGCAGCCAGCAGCTGCCTAATTTAAGAGAATCCTCCAGATCCAGTGGGCCAGGAGCAAGAGGCAGAGCTGAAGCCCAAGGTCAAGGGCCCTTCACCCTGCCCCTAGAGCTTGGCACTTTGAACTTGGACTTCTAGCCTCCTAACCTGTAAGGAATAAATGCCTGTTTGTTAAAGCCACCCACCTGTGGTATTTCTGTTACAGCAGCACAAAAGAGCGAAAACACTCTCCAACTCAAATAAACCCAAAATGGTTCAAATTTTGGATACTTCTATCCAGATTAATAATGTTTCTCTATTTTCTAAATCCACAAAAGGGAAACAAAGGTCTCCATTTACCTTGAGGACAGCTGAGACCACACTGCTTTCTTTATACAGCAGAATTGTCAATAAAAAGTTACTATCAACAAAACTTTTCACCTATATGTCCAGCCCTAGAATAAGGGTGAGTTTGGGCAGAACTGGGTAGAAAAATGTGGCATTCAGCCTACCTGATGAGGGAAGAATCACATGACCTTATCACTAGAACCTAAACTGATAGCACATACAGACATGCAAATGTCTATATAAAACAAGGTGCTCATCATATTATTAAAAAGAAATGAATAAGTAAATAAATATTGTTGTTGTTAGGTGCCACCAAGTCATCTCCAACTCATAGTGACCCTATGCACAGCAGAATGAAACAGTGCTTGGTCCTGTGCCGGCCTCATGATTCTTGCTATACCTGAGCGAGTCCATCTTCAGATAGCCTTTGTGTCAATCCATCTCACTGAGGGCATTCCCCTTCTTTGTTGACCTTCCACTTTACAGAGCACATCTTTTTCCAGGGAATGGTTCCTCCTGACAACATGACCAAAGCAGGTGAAATGAAGTCTGGCCATTCTTGCTTCCAAGGAGCATTCCGGTTGCACTTCTTTCAGGACAGATCTGTTAGCCCTTTTAGCAGACCATGCTATCCTTAGCATTCTTCTCCAATGCCACAACTCAAAAGCATCAACTCTTCTTCCATCTTCCTTATTCACTGCCCAGCTCTCACATGCATAAGAGGTGACTGAAAATACCATGGCTTGGGTTAGGTGCACCTTAGTCTTCAAGGAGGAATCTTTGCTCTTCATCACTTGAAAGAAGTCTTTTGCAGCAGATTTGCCCAATGCAATACATTGTTTCATGTCTTGACTGCTGCTTCCACTGGTGCTGATTGTAGAACCAAGTAATATGAAGTCCTTGACAACTTCAATCTTTTTTCCATCTATCATGAAGCTGCTTATTGGACTGGTGATTTTTGTTTTCTTTATATTGAGGTGTAATCCATATGGCAGACTGTAGTCTTTAATCTTCATCAGTAAGTGTATCAAGTCATCGTCACTTTCAGCAAGTAAAGTTGTGTCATCTGCGTATTGCAGGTTGTTAATGAGTTTTCCTCCAATCCTGATGTCACATTCTTCTTTATATAATTCAGCTTCTCAGATTATTTGCTCAGCATACAAATTGAATAAGTATGGTGAAAGGATACAACCCTGACCCACTCCCTTCTTGATTTTAAACCATGCAGTATCCCCTTGTTCTGTTCAAACAACAGCCTTCTGATCTATGTACAGGTTCCTCATGAGTACAATCAAGTGTTCTGGAATTTCCATTCTTCTCAATGTTATCCATATTTATTTATGATCCACACAATTGAATGCTTTTGAATAGTCAATAAAACACAAGTAAACATCTTTCTGGTATTTTTTGCTTTCAGCTAAGACCCACCTGACATCAGCAATGATATCCCTCATTCCATGTCCTCTTCTGAATCCAGCTTGCATTTCTAGAAGCCCTCTGTGTGATAGTTATGTTTGTATGTCAACTTGGCTAGGCCTGGTTGAGTGGCAGGGCAGCTGGATGTAGTATTACCCATGATGAGACTGGCAATCAACTCCATGGTGGAATCTACTGGGAGCAGCTGAGTAGCTGCCTTTGGGTATGTGGTCTGCTCTCTTTATTTAAGAAGAAGTCTTGGGAATGGTCTCTAGCCTATGGCATGCTTGGACCCTGCATGTAGCTGTGTCATTGTTCAGCAGCCTGCTATGCTCTGCCGACCATGGCACTTAGAGTGGACTTAAGTTAATGATCTGCCGTGTGGATTGGTAACATTGGGACTGTGCCTTTTTACTTGTCAACCTTGGGGCTTCTCAGCCTCAGCAGCCAACAATTGTCTGAGTGAAGAAATGCCTCTAGCTCCAGTGGGCCAGGAGGAGGAGGCAGAGCTGGACCCCAAGGTTGAGGGGCTTTCACCCAGTCCCTAGAGCCTGGCACTTTGAACTTGGACTTAAAGCCTCCAAATTATAAGAATATACCCATTTGTGGTATATTCTTGTCAGAGCGGCACTAGGTAACCAGAACACCTCTGTCAATATACTACTGCAACAATTTTTGAATTATCTTCAGTAAGATTTTACTTGCATGTGATATTGAGGATATTCAGTAATTTCCACATTCTGTAGGATCGCCTTTCTTTGGAATGGGTACAAACATCGATCTCTTCCAGTCAGTTGGTCAGGTAGCTGTCTTCCGTATCTCTTGGCATAGCTGAGTGAGTGCCTTCAGCATGGCATCCGTTTGTTGAAATATCTCAATGGGTATTCTGTCAATTCCTGGAATCTTATTCTTTGCTAATTCTCTCAGTGGAGCCTCGATTTTTTCCTTCAAAACCATTGGTTCTTGATCATATGCCACCTCCTGAAATGGATGAACATCAGCCAATTCTTTTTGGTACAGTGACTCTGTGTATTCCTTCCATCTTCTTTTGATGTTTCCTGCATCATTCAATATTTTGCCCATAGAATCTTTCAATATTGCAACTCAAGGCTTAATTTTTTTCCTCAGTTCTTTCAGAGTCTCTTCTGACATCCATTTTGGTCTATTCTTCCTTTCTTGTCCTTTAAATGACCTCTTGCTTTCTTCATGGATGATGCTCTTGAGGTCATCCCACAATCCCTCTGGTTTTCAGTCATTGGTGTTCAATGCATCAAATCTATTCTTTAGATGGTCTCTAAATTCAGGAGGGATATTATCAAGGTCATATTTTGGCTCTTGTGGACTTGTTTTAATCATCTTCAGCTTCAACTTGAATTTGCATATGAGCTGTTGATGGTCTGTTCCACAATCAGATCCTGGCCTTATTTTGTCTGAGATATTGAACTTCTCTATTGCCTCTTGCCACACATGAAGTCAATCTGATTCCTGTGTATTTCATCTGGTGAAGTCCTTGTGTATACCCATCATTGATGTTGTTGAAAAAGGTATTTGCAATGAATAAGTCATTGGTCTTGCAAAATTCTATCATGCAATCTCCAGTGTTATTTATATCACCAAGGCCATATTTTCTAACTACTGCTGACTCTTCTTTGTTTTCAACTTTTGCATTCTAGTCACCAGTAATAATTAACACATCTTGATTGCATGTTTGGTCAATTTCAGACTGCAGAAGTTTGTAGAAATCTTCAATTTCCTCATCTTTGGCTTTGGTGGTTGGCACCTAGATTTGAATAATAGTATTATTAACTGGTCTTCCTTGTAGGCATGTGGATAGTATACTACCACTGACAACAACATACTTCAGGACAGATCTTGAAACTGTCTTTGTGACAATGAGTACCATACCATTCCTCTTCAATTTGTCATTCCCAGCATAGTAGATCATATGGTTGTCTGATTCAAAACGGCCCAACCTGGTCCATTTCAGCTCACTAATGCCTAGGATATTGATCTTTATGCATTCTATTTCATTTCTGACAACTTTCAGTTTTCCTAGATTCATACTTTGTACATTCCATGTTCCAATTATTAATGGATGTCTGCATGTTTCTACTCATTTTGAGTCATGCCACATCAGCAAATGGAGATCCCAAAAGCTTTACTCCATTCATAACCTTAAGGTTACCTCTACTCTGAGGAGTCAGCTCTTCCCCAGTCATATTCTGAGTGCTTTCCAACCTGAGGAACTCATCTTCTGACACTATATTGAACAATGTTTCAGGGCTATTCATAAAGTTTTCCAGCAATATATCAGACAGTGTTTCACTGCTATTCATAAGGTTTTCACTAGCCAATTCTTTGAGAAGTAGATGGTCTCTTCCTTCTTCCAAATCTTTCTTAGTCTGGAAGCTCTGCTGAAACCTGTGCATCATGGGTAACCCTGATGGCATTTTGCAACACCAGTGGCATAGCCTCCACCCTCACAGCAACATGTAAGCCATCATAGGATGACAAACTTGCAGACAACTTCGTCTCCCTTAGTTGTTCCTAACTGCTCTACTCACCTCCCCACCTGTCTGGGGCCTGGCTTTGAAAAAAAGCTGCCCCAGAAGCCCCAAGCACCATGCACCTGCCTACCTGTCTAGTGGCCCAGCCTCAAAAAAAAAAAAAGGCTGCCCCAGATGCCCCGAGTGCTGTGCACCTGCCTACCTGTCCAGGGTTCCAGCCTTGAAAAAAAGAAAAGTAAGTTAATAAATAGAGGGCCACATATGGGTCACTGATGACAATGTCTCTATATTTAATATTAGTGGTTAATTTATTTATAATAACTTATATTTGATGAGGAGAGTTCTGGTGGCATAGTGCCTGTGACATTTTGACTCCTAACCAGAAAGCTGATGGTTCGAACCCACCAGCCGCTCCTTGGAAGGAAGGTTGGGCAAACTACTTCTGTAGTGATACAGCCTTGGAAACCCAAGGAGGGGATCTGACTCGAGGGCAGTGAGTTTGGTTTTGGGAGCTCTGGTGGTGTAGTGCCTAAGGTATTTGGTAACCAGAAGGCTGGCGGTTCAAACCTATCAGCCACTCCTTGGAAGGAAGATTGGGCAATCTACTTCCGTATTGAACTGACTCAGTAACCCAAGGAGGGTTTGCTATGAGTCAGATCTGACTTGATGGCTGTGAGTTTATTGTTATTATTATTTATAATTGATGAAGTCTAAATGTAAACTAAGGAACTCTGGTAACTTAGTGCCTAAGGCACTTGACTGCTAACCAGAAGGCTGGCGGTTCAAACCCACCAGCCACTCCTCAGAAAGAAGGTTGGGCAATCTATTTCCGTAGTGATACTGCCTCGGAAACCCAAGGAGGGGTTGCTACGAATTGGGTTTGACTCAACAGCAAACAAAAACAACAACAAATGTAAACTAGTACTTAAATTAAAACTATGAGCTAAATTTGTACATACTGATCTGGAAAGATGCCAAGACAGAGGGATAAGATTAAATAAACAAATATTTCACAATACTTTTACACTGTGATCATATTTTTGTTTTTTAAAATTGTATCATATGCATATATACAGCACTATGTGTGTTATGCATATGAAAAATCTGGAAAGAGATACATTAAACAATTAAAATATCTACAGTGGAAAAGATTTCACATGGCCCTCAGTTTCTTTTTTATTTCTATTAGTTTTTTCATAAGAGAAGGTTGGAAAGGGCTTCTTGAACCAAATGAACTGTGCCAACAGGACTGTAGGTCAAGAGGAAATCTTTGTTAATTTAGAAGTAAGCAATATCCCAGGGGACAATAGGCAGACTTGGAACCATGCACACTTTGAGTGTGTAAGGGACCAGTACTTCCTGCTTAATCCAGAATCAGGCTCTGGTTACAGTATCAGGTACTTATTACTCCAGACCAGAGAATTAACACATATTTGTTGTTGTTATCTTCTGTGGAATTGGCCCCCAATTCATGGCCACCTCAGGCATAACGAAATGAAACAGCCTCTGATCCTGTGACATCCCCTGATGAATTGTGGATCAAACTAGTGTGAGCCATAGGGTTTTTTTTTTTTGTTGTTGTTGTTCATAATCAAAACTCACTGCCATTGTGTTGATTATGACTCATGCAACCCTATAGGACAGAGTAGAACTTCCCCATAGTGTTTCCAAGGCTGTAAATCTTCACAGAAGCAGACTGCTTCATCTTTCTCCCATGGAGCACCTGTTGGGTTCAAATCTCTGACCTTTTCATTAGCAGCTGAATGCTTTAACCACTGCACCAAAAGAGCTCCTTGTTCAGCATCACAGCAACATGCAAAACCTCCAATGACAGATGAGTAGAGAATGTACTTCAGGCACATTGGTCCACATGAGTTGCAAGAAAGCTACCACTGAACTTCCACTTCCCCCAACAATTATTTACCTCCTCAGAAACTCCCCAAGAAAGGAATCAGCTAAAGAGAACACGAAATCCATCAGAAGGAGCCTGTAGATTTCCTGGCCGATGAAGGTTTCCCAACACTGGAAGGCAAACAAGAGTCAGAATGAAGGGTTGGAATGTTGCCTCGGTCCATACTCTTTAGCACGTGGCTGGCAGCTCAGTTTGACCAATTTCTTTTTTACCCAGAAAAGAAGACCCATTCTTGGCAAAAATACACCAACAAGTCATGTTCTTTTTTATGGGAGTTCACTCCCTTTGTATGTCCCTTTTTTCCCTATTAATGCTTGTCTTCCACATGTACCAAAACTTTCCCCTCACCATGTCTCTTCTTAAAACTTTTCGTCTCTGTCCTAGCTTCTCTGAATCCCATTTCTCAGCCAGGGTAATCAGTTTCTTCCAGAGAGCTGGAGGTGTCCATGGTTAATAATGTCTCCACTCTTTTTGCTTATCAATCTTAGGGGAAAAAAAATCAATTCATATTTGTTAGTTTAAGGTCCATTTTCATTGAGTTGGGTCTGACTCATAGCAACCCTCCTTGGGTTTGCAAGGCAGTATCATTACAGAAGCAGATTGCCCACTCTTCCTTCTGAGGAGTGGCTGGTGGGTTTGAACTGCCAGCCTTCTGGTTAGCAATCAAATGCCTCAGGCACTACACCACCAGAGCTCCTATTGAGAGTGAATTTTTGCTGAGAGTGAGTCTTCTTTTCTGGGTACACAAGCTTGTGCAAATGGGAAGTTTGCATTAGTCCATTTATGAAATTGGTAACCAGTAAACTTTGCAGGAAGTCATCACCATAAGCTGATGGACCAGCAATTTTTTTATTTGGCTGAAGGAGGAAAGGGAGGTTTTGGGTTCACAGCATGAGGATAATGGATGGATGGATGAATGAATGGATGGGTGGATGAACATATAAATGAATGGAAAAATAACAAGGGATCTGCTCTCACCAGCCCAACTAGGAGGACTGGTTTTGAACCTATTTGATGATTAAGTTAGGAAGGGAAAATGAGGGTGCCATATCACATATGATGATTTGAGTCTGTACACAAGTAGTGCTATTTTGGGGCCCAGGGGACAATGTCAGGGATGACAGAGTTTGGAAAGAGGTCCCTATTTTCCTGACTCCACTTTGAACCACAGGGCAACCCTGGTACCCTGAGAATCCAGAATAGCCAACAGCTAAGGAGGATTGGGGGTGTGGAGGCCCATTTTCATGGGGACTTCATTAGCAAGCGAAGAGCATCCTAATATTAGAAGTCCAGAGAGATTGGCCTGTTCCCAATCCAAACAAGACTTCATCCTCAGGACCTTCCTGATATGACCAAGGAAGAGTCTCTGGGGTTGAGGAAGAGCAAGAAGCTGTGTCCAATTAGGGGAAGGCCAGAAATGATCAGTTAGGACAAAATTTTTATTGCCACCAGTAATATGTTTGCAGACTGGTGACATTCAGGGCTCTAGAATACAGAGAAGATGAAACATCAAGGATCAAAAAGTAAGTCTTCCCAAATCCCAAGGCTGGTCAGACAGATTATCTTCCAAATTACTACCATCTGTCTGTCATGTGCCTGGCACTACTTATACTATATATGGCATTGTTTATCTCCATTTTACAGATGAGAAAACTGAAGCCCAAAGAGATTAGATTACACTGTAAAATGCACAACTGGTCATCAAATCAAGTCTGCCTGTTTCTAGAACTGTGATTTTGGGGGGGTAGGCATGAGGGGAGGGAATCTTTTTCCCCTCCTGTTGCCTTACAGATTAACTTCTATTCTCTTCCCATAAATGATTCATAGGAGGTATGATGGCTCTTGAGAAACTCACTTCCTTCTTGGTGCTGAAAGGCTATGGAACCTGATGTAAGGCAGAACAGCATGGAAATCTCACCTCTTCACCAGACAGGGCCACAATGTTGAGCCAATAATAACACAGAATTCCAATGATGGATATTTTCAGAAAGAAGTTTCTAAATAACAGAAGAGAAAAGAACCATCATTACTGTCATGGGCTGAATCATGTCTCCCAAAATATGTGCCAACATGGCTAGTCCATGATTTTCAGTACTGTGTACTTAGCTTCTGTGGTAGTTAAGGTTGTGTGTTAATTTGGGTGGGCCTGCTTGAGTGGCTGGGCAGCTGGGTGTAGTTATTCCCCATGGTGAGATTGGCAAGTAACTCCATGGTGAAATCTACTGGTGCAACTGAGTAGATGCTTTAGGGATGTGGGCTGCTTCCAGAATATAAGCAGAAGCTTTTTGGCATGCTTGAACTCTGCATGTAGCCAAGTTGTTGCTCAGCAGCCTGCCATGCCCTGCCAATCTTGAGACTTTTTCTGGACTTGAATTAGTGACCAGCCGTGTTGTTTGGTAACATTGGGACTGTGCCTTTGTACTTGTTGACCTTGGGTTTGTCAGCCTCAGCAGCCAGCAGATGTCTGAGTAAAGAAAAACCTCCACCTTCAGTGGGCTGGGAGCAGGAGGCAGAGCTAAAGTCCGAGGTTGAGGGGCTTTCACTCAGCCCCTAGAGCCTGACACTTTGAACTCAGACTGAAAGCCTCCAAACTGTAAGAGAATAAACTCTAGTTTGTTGAAGCCATCCCTTTCTGTGGTATATTCCTGTCAGAGGGGCACTAGGTAACCAAAATAGTCTCCATCATGTGATCTAATGTAATTATCTTAAGTGTTGTAAACCTAACCTCTATGATGTTAATGAGGCAGGATTAGAGGAAGTTATGTTAATGAGGCAGGATACAATCTACAAGATTGGGTTGTATTTTAAGTCAATCTCTTTTGATGCATGGTCCAAGACAGCTGAGTGCCTTCAGGCCTAGGCTTACTGGCAATGTGAGGTGCCTCCAGGCACTTTCTAGTAGAGCTAAAGAGCTTGGTAATAACACTTGTCTGTGCAGGGCAGAAACTGGTCTGGGCCAAGAGGCCTAAGGGGCCAAGAGGCCAAGGAACCACGAAGCAGCAGCTGAAGAAACAATGAGCATAGGAAACAGAGCTCCTTCAGTCTCAGAGGGCAGAACCACAGTCTGCTGGGGTTTCAAAGAGTAGGGCTATGGTCTCCTAGGTGTCAAAGAGTCAGATCTTCACCAACTTGGTTCCAGAGTGTGGGGCTGCCATTCAAGAGTGCCAGGGGAATGGAGCCAGATTTGATGCTCAAAGCTGAAGGGTTGGGGCTGTCATGCCCAAGGGGCAGAAGAATGGGACCTGCCAGGGCTGATGGGGTGGACTTGCCACTTAGTTGGACTAGGAGAATTGGGCTGCCCAAAGCTGAGGGAGCACAGTTGCTGTCTCAGTGGGCTTGGAAGGTGGAGCTGAAGCCCAGGGCCAAGGATCCTCCACTCAGAATCAGGAGACCGTGGCCAACACCCAGAGTCTGGAGGACAGGACCATTGCTTAGATAATCTCAGAGTACTTTGAGAGATTTGAGAGTTAATGTAAATTGTTCTGCTGGGTTTTTGACTTGCTTCATGCCTGTTAATCCTTATTTCCCTCCAATTTCTCCCATTTGTATTGGAAATTTCTACCCTATGCCTGTTCCATGACTGTAATTTATAAGAATATAACTTGTATTCTAGATTTTTCACAAGTTCACAGGTGAAGAGGAATTTTGCCTCAGAATGGAATTTGGACTTGTACTCAATATAATACTTTAGGGATGATATGAAGGAGCTCTGGCACTTGACTGCTAACCAGAAGGCTGGAAGTTCAAATCCACCAGCTACTTCTTGGAAGGAAGACTGGGCAATCTACTTCCATAGAGATACTGCCTTGGAAACCCAAAGAGGGGTCTCTATGAGTTGAAATCGACTGGACAGCAGTTAAGTTTGGTTTTTTGGTATGATGGGGTGATTTATTTTACATATGGCAAGAGCATGAATCTTGAGAGCCAAAGAGTTAAATGTCATGGATTGAAATGTGTCCCCCGAAATATATGCCAACTTGGCTAGGCTATGAGTCTCAGTATTATGTAATTAGCCTCCATTTTATGATCTGATGTAATTATCTGATGTGTTACAAATCCTAATCTCTATAATGTTAATGAGACAGTTATGTTAATGGGGCAGGATACAATCTACAGGACTGGGTTGTATCTTGAGTAAGTCTCTTGAGATGTAACAAACAGAGAGACAGACCTAATACCACCAAGAAAGAGGAGCTGGTGGCAAAACATGTTCTTTGGATCCAGGGTGCCTAGGCTCGAAACCTGGACTCAAGGGAGGATTGATGCCAAGATACATGGAGATCTCCAATGGGCCCACAGATGTTGAAAGAAGACAAAGTCCTTCCCCTTGAACTGACAGAAAGAGAAAGCCTTTCCCCAGAGCTGGCAGTCTGAATTCAGACTTCTAGCCTCCTAAACTGTGAAAACGTAAATTTAAAGCCATCTACTCATGGTATTTCTGTTATAGTAGCACAAAATAACTAAGACAAATATCTTCATAGCATTCATCAGAACTGTTTGCCCATATTTCTTTTTGGGCCCATGGTAGGAAGGCAAGTCCTTCCATTCTGTGGTTGGATGAGCCATGTCACTAGTTCTGGTATGAGTTGTAAGAAGTGATGTGTGTCATTTCATGTCACTGCTTGGTTTCTACATGTACAATTCAGTGACATTGATTACATTCTTCAAGTTGTGTAACCATTCTCACTCTCCCTTTCTAGTTGTTCTTCCTTATTAAACTAAACTCATTACCCCCTAAGATTCCTATCTAATCTTTTGAGTTGCTGTTGTTAATTTGATTCCTTATAGTTTTTAAAAGAGCATTCTGTTCAACCAGACCTTTTTTTCACTAGTTAAGCTAAACTATTGTTTGGTTTTAAGAAGACTTCAGGGGATATTTCTGGCATAAGGTTTAGATATTATCTCAGGGCAATAGTTTCAGGGGTTCATCCAGCCCCCATGGCTCCAGAAAGTCTGGTTGTCATGAGAATTTGACAATGTGTTCTGCATTCCCCTTCTTTTGATCAGGATTCTTCTCCAGAATTGTTAATAAAAATATTCAGTAATGGGAGGCATCTGAGCACCATCCAGTTCTTCTGGTCTCATGGGGGCAATTAACCACACATTCCATGTCTTCCTCCTATTCCTGAATCTTCTTCCTCTGTTGCTCCAGGTAAATGGAGACAAAATGTTGTGTCTTGGATGATATATGCTGATTTTAATAAGGCTCTGGCATAGGTGTACTAAGAATTATAGGCACTAAACCAATGATTCTCAAGTTGTGGTCCTCAGACCAGTGTCACCTGGAAACTTGTTAGAAAGGCAGTGGCTCAGACCCTACTCCCGACCTACTGAATCAGAAACTCTGGGGGTGGGGCCCAGTAAGTTGTGTTTGAGGAAGCCCTCCAGATGATTTTGATGCATGCTTAAGGTTGAGAGCCACTGTACTAGACTCTACTTTCCATGAAAGAAGGAACTGGATGAGTCTTTTTCAATGCTAGATCCTCAGCCTTTGCCCAGTGCCCAGCCAGTAGGAGACCCTCAAAACCTACTGATTAATGCATTAGTTTACCTTTACTGAATGAAGTCCCTGAGTGGTACAAATGGTTAATGCACTCAATGGCAGGTTTGAGTCCACCCAGAGATGCCTTGAAGAAAGGCTTGGTGATCTACTTCCAAAAAGTCAGCCTTTGGAAACCCTATAACCTATCTAAGATACAACTATTGTTCTCTACTTGTCTGGAGCAAAAGAAAAAGAAAGTAGATTAATCAAAATAGGTCAAACAAAAAAGAAGTAACAAGAATGTTGACACATTGTGAAGAATGTAACGAATGTCATTGAACAACTTGTGTAGAAATTGTTAAATGGGAACCTAAACTGCTGTAAACCTTCACACACACAAAAAAAAAACCACCAAAAAACCCCAATACAATATTAAAAAAAAAAAGAAAGCAGCAGCAGCCGTATGGAGCACAATTCTATTCTGATACACATAAAGCCTCCATGAATCAGAGTTGACTTGTTGGCAACTGTTTCTGGTATCATTATAAATATAACCCTAGCCAGGAAGAGGCTGTAAGGATAAAATTTGGGTAGTTTTGTGGTTTGTTAAAGGAGGTCTGGTGGCACAGTGGTAAGGCATTTGGCTGTTAACCAGAAAGTCGGCAGTTCAAACCCACCAGTAGCTCCACAGGAAGAAGATGAAGTAATCTATTTCTGTAAAGATTTACAGACTTAGAAACCCAATGGGAGTTGCTATGAGTCAGAAGTGACTAGATGGCAGTGGTTTGTGCTTTATCAAAACCCTGGGACCATCTTTAGCACATAGAGTGTCTCTGTGGGAATCACCGCCTCCCAGTCAATGAATTGCCAAAAACCAACCCTATGCCTCTGTTTGAATGGCTGAATATAAAAATTCACCCCTTTCCCCTAGCTTATACACTGGATACCAAGGATCATAGTTTGATCAATGAGAACACGGGTGGATTTCAGTTCCCACACAAGTCCTCAGCCAGGAACCTATGTGTACCTGAATATCTGCACATTTCATTCCTAGAAGAACTAGGTTAACCCTTAGGCTGGTAGCAACTGGGAAAGGTAAGCCATTACTTTGAGTAAGAGGTAGAGATATTCAATAGCTATAGATTCTCAGGGCTGTTCAGATCTTATGGTCAGGCTATTTGTCCATACCATATAAATACTCTATACTCTTGAAATTCCTATAGGAGACGAGAACTTTGATATTGAGCAAAACCCTTTCTAGCTCCCACCCATTTCATAGAAACAACTGGTGTTTGGCAGGACAGGCACACCTACCGGATCAGAAGGGTGTAGACTTCATGCCGTGGCATCTCATACCTCTCCACCAGCCCGAACATGGAATAGAAGCGTGGTACAACCAGGTTGATGCAGGATACGACAAAAGGCAATAACAGCACCGCCCCAGGGTCTCTATGGTTTTTCAGGAACTACAGGAGACAGAGGTGGAGAATCAAGATGCTAACTGTACACTAAACCCTTCTCTGCCTCACTCAGAAGGCCCCCACCATGGGAAAACCCTAAAAGGAGCTTCTCTGGGCTTCATTGAGGTCCCTCAGTGGTAAGGGGAGCTCTGATGGCATAGACCCTAAGGCATTTGCTAACCAGAAGGCTGGTGGTTCAAACCCACCAGCCACTCCACAGAGGAAGATTGGGCAATCTACTTCCATAGTGATACCACCTTGGAAACCCAAAGAGGGGTTGCCATTAGTCGGATCCAATTCGACGGCAGTGAGTTTGGTTTTGAGTTTCAGCGATAAGATTGGTTTGGGCTTGGCTAGTATCCTAAAGGTTGGCAGTTTGAACCTGTACAGTGGTGCCACAGGAAAAAGGCCTGGTGTATTTGAGCACTTACCCTGTGCCACTTACTACGTACATGATTGCATTGAATTCTGTACGTTCTCACATGAAATAAGAAAATAAACGGAAATCAAAGATTATTAGTGGTTATCAGGCGTCTGTGGGGGGAAGGGGAGTTTTTGCTTAAGGGTCATTACTGAGTTTATGTTAATGGTGGTGGAATGATCTGGAAAAGGATAGTGATAATGGTGGCACGACATGAAAAATGTATTAATGTCACTGAATTATACATGTAGGAACAGTTTAATATTTTGCTGTGTGTATTTTCACCACAATAAAATAAAAATTCTAATGAGTATCTAATAAGAATTCTAATAATTCATCACCCACAATGTTAAGCACTGAATAGACCCTTCAACTCATCTCTGATCCTGACTGCATGCCCACAAAGACAAGTGTTGTCATTCCCATTTGACAGATGAAGAATCCAGATCTCAGAAAGATTCAATAATTTGCTTAAGCCCATATATTTACAATATGTATTGAACATGTACTCTGTGCTCGGTGCTAGTTGAAGCCTGTGGGGTATAATAGAAGAAGAAACCAGAACTTGATCCCAGGTCTGGGGTCAACCAATCACCCAGAGCATCTGACCCTAGTGTGCACACTAGAGTCTGGTTACAACACAGATTCTGAGTCTGTGGGTCAAGGGAAGGTCCCAAGATTCTGAACTTTTTAAAAGCTTCCAGGTGGTGCCAATGCTGCTGGCCATGGACTCCACTTAAGTAGTGGGTTCTGCATCAATCTGCCCCTCTAGCATCCTGGCCCTTCATCTGGTTCTCTTGCTTTGGGCTCTTGTGCTCCAGCCTCTTTGGAGTTACCTTTGAGTTGTCCTCAGCTAGGTAGTAAACGGCTACACAGCAGGCGATGGCCACACCAGTGGAGACAACCCAGGCTACTGCATAGGTGGACAAGTGGGTCAGCTGCTGATTTAGTGTCAACTTGACATTCTCCTGTAGAATTTCTGACAGGTTCTCCTATAAACATAAGGAAGAGAAGTTGATCAAGAGGCCCCTCTCCACTATTAGCCAAGACACCAAGTCACCACATCCAGAGACACCGACCCACCCTAGATGCACAGGTAAGAGAGAGTCGAAAGATGATGATGGGCATGGATTATGGGAAACCCTTGGAAAAATCTCAAATGGGGCCAAGAAACCCAGCACCACACTGAACACTTTTTCCATTTTAGAAGAATAATTATTAGGGCCATGTTCTCAAGGAAAGGAGCTTTGGTGGTATAGTTGTTAAGGCATTTGGCTGCTAAACAAAAGGTCAGTGGTTCGAACCCCCCAGTCACTCCATGAAAGAAAGATGAGCAGTCTGCTTATGTAAAGATTTACAGCCTTGGAAACCCAGTGGGAGTGGCTATGAGTTGAAATCAACTCAACGGGAGTGTATGGTTTTTTGGTTTGGTTCTCAAGGAAGGTATGTTGAGAGCATTGAGCTCTTTGTTGAAGAATAGGCTGGGTATCTACACCAAGGAAGAAGTCAACATCTTCAATATTATTTTCAAAGTTCCTTTGTTTAGAAATTCTTCTTGCTCTTTCTTTTTAATGTTTGTTTGTTTGTTTATCCTTCTATAGACCAGAGTTACTCTACCTCAGAACTACTGACATCTTGTTTTTGATAATTCCTTGGGAGCTAAAGCATTGTCATGTACATTGTAGAATGTTTAGTAGCATCCCTGACCTCCACTCATTAGTAGCACTGCTCCAAATTTTGACAACTAAAAAAATTCTACAAACATTGCCAAATGTCCCCCGGGGAGGCAAAACTGCCCCTGGTTGAAAACCACTGTCCGGGGATAAAGTTTTGATCCTTGAACTATGGGGTCAAGAAGAAAACACATTTAAAATATTGGAAAAAAGCTGTGAAACTGTCCACTAGTAAGGCTGTATCAATTAGAAAGCAACCAATGCCATATGAAAATGCCCATTTCCCCACATGACCACCAGCATTGCAAATTATGAATGTTTTAAACTTTTTGCTAACCTCATAGGCAATAAAAAATAATTTGTTATTATTTTAAGACATATTAGGAGATGGAAGAGATCAGTCATGGGGAGGGTTGAGCAGGCCTGCCTTACCCTTATCTCAGTGCTGAGGTTCTTCTGTTTCAGCTTCACGGCTTTTTCATGAGTGATGGTGAAGTCCCAGCAAAAGATAAGCTTAGCAATCCCTCTGGAGTAAATGTAGGGGTTAATGAAGTTGTTCCGGAAATACTTGGCCATACTAGTGAAGGCAGAAACCAAGAGTTATTGTAACAGTCATTGGGAGCATAACTTCATTAAATCAAAGTAAAGGCAACTTCAAAGAGTTACTCCCAAGCACTTCCCAAGCACTAGGCTTGTGATCACAAGTACAGCAATGAGATAGCCTGACTTGCATTACTAGCTTTGCCAGCTGGGGGATCTTTGTGATATTGACTGTCGCTTTCCACATTTGTATAATGGGGTTCAGGAATCCCAGGGTGGTGCAAATGGTTAAGATGCTTAGCTTTTAACTGGAAGGAGGTTTGAGTCCACACAGAAGTACCTCAGAAGAAAGGTGTGGTGATTTCCTTCTGAAAAATAAGCCACTGAAAACCTGATGGAGCAGTTATACTCTGACACACACGGGGTCATCATGAGTTGGAACTTCTATAGTGATACTGTCTTGGAAACCCAAGGAGGGGTCGCTATGAGTTAACTTGATGGCAACTGGTAGCTGGTTATAATGGGGATAATAACAGTACCCACCTCACAGATTATAAAGGCTAATGAAGAAATCCACTGTTATGGATTGAATTGTAAGAAGCTCTGGTGGTTTAGTGGTCAAGGCATCTGGTTGCTAACCAGAAGGCTGGCAGTTCAAACTCAGCAGCTGCTCCATGGGAGGAAAATGAGGCAATCTAGTTCTGTGAAGATTTACAGCCTTGGAAACCCAAAGGGGTCAGTATGAATCAGAATTAACTTGATGGCAGTGAGTTTGGTTTTGAGTTTTGGATTGAATTGTGTCCCCCAAAGAGAAATGTTAAAATCCTAATCCCTATATCTGTGGATGTTATCTTGCTGGGGATAAAGGGCCTTTCTTTGAAGATGTTATCAGTGAAGTTAACCAGATCATACTAGAGTAGGGTAAACCTTATCCTATATGACTAATGAAGTATGAGAGAGGAGGACAGACATGGAGACAAAGGCATACATTGGACAGATGCCATGTGACAACAGATGCAAAGCATCTGTAAGCAGCAAAGGATCATCAATGATTGCCAGCAGTCATCAGAAAACTAGGAGAGGCATGGAACAGTTCTTCTCTCAAAGTGCTCAGAATAAGGGCCATGATTTTGTGGTGTTTTTAATAGCAGCCCTATGAAACTAAGACAGACACATAGAGCACTTAGAACAGTAAGCACTCAAAAAAGACAGTTGTTAATATCATAGGGTCATGTGGAGGACTCAGTGAAATTAGGTGCAGGAAGCAACGCAGGACCTGGGACACAATGAATGCTGAGTAAAGCAAAAGCTACCTTTCTAAAATTTGCCACCACTGCCTTGGAAGGAAGATTGGGGAATCTACTTCTGTAGTGATACTGCCTCGGAAGCCCAAGGAGGGGTCACTATGAGTTGGATCCAACTTGACAGCAGTGAGTTGCATTGAGTTGTTGAATAGCAGCAGTTTAAGAAATAGCTCTTGCAAGGTTGTAGTCACTTTTTGGGCACAGCCAGCTACCCAGAGGGAGTGAGCAGTTGAACCTGTGGGCTCAGGACATCAAGCTCAATTGGCACAAAATACTACACAAAACATTGTTCCATCTCCTACTTTGGTGAGTAGCAACTGAGATCTTAAAAGCTTGCAAGCAACCATCTATATGCAATGAGTAAACAAGAATGAAGAAAACCAAAGATTCATGGAAACAATTAGTCCAAGCGACTGGTACACCATGTGATCCTCAGCCTATACAATTATGAGACCAGAACTAGATGGTGCCCGGCTACCACTGTCAACCACTAGGAGGGGGTCTATCTAGGAGATCCTGGATAGAGAGGGAGAACAATGTGGAACAAAACTCAAAATCATTTAGGAAAAAAAAAAAAAGGGACCAGGTTTGCTGGAACCATTGAGACTATGGTCCCTAGCTGCCCTTCAGGTCTGGAATTGCACCCTTACCTGTGGCTTCCAGCCAAACAAAAGACAGGCATATGAGGTGAACACTCCTTGGAGAGAACAATCATGGGAGAAAGAAGGGCTGTTTATGTACAGGGAGACAGCTCAGGGGGCAGGAGTGCATGGAGGGATGGACACAGGGAAGAGGTAACTATCGGGAGGAAGTGGGAGAGGAGCTGTTGTACTGTGGTAAATTGTAGTCAATGTCATGAGACAAAGTGTATGTGAACTGCTGTATGGAAAGTGAATTTTCTCTGTAAACTTTCACCCATAATATAATAATAATAATAATAAGAAGAAGAAGAAGAAGAAGAAGAAGAAGAAATAGCTCCTGGTTTGATAGAATAAAATGAACTCTCATTTTAGTGTGAATTATTGTGATGGTAGTAAAGCTGAACATTTCTCATATGTGCATTTTCTATTTGCACCTCATCTTTCACAATTATCCACCCACGTCCTTTTGTCCATACAACCACTTGGATCATTGCACCCCATAAAGATTTACAGCCTCGGAAACCCAATGGGGATCACTATGAGTAGGAATCAACTCGATAGCAGTGAGTTTGGTTTTTGGAAGTTCTTTAAAAGTGTATGAAAACCTCTCTTCCTCTACCTGAACTCATATGTTGCAGTACAAGGAAGAATCAGACAGTAATAAAAATTTTAAACTGCAGTGAAACTGTTTCCCGGGCAATTTTCGAGACTCTTGAATCTTGCCTACATCTAAAAAGAGCCTTAGACCCTTGAAATGCTGACCCTCCATACCTGTATGTTGTTGTTGTTGTTGTTATATGCCGTCGAGTTGGCCCCGACTCATAGCGACCCCTCCTTGGGTTTCCGAGGCAGTATCACTACACAAGTAGGATTGCCCAACCTTCCTTCCGAGGAGTGGCTGGTGGGTACCATACCTGTATAGCAAACTGAAAAAGCAGATGATCAAGCATGCTCCGATTGTGAAGATATAGGCCAGCTGCATGTTGTAGGACGCCCTACTGCTCTCATGCTGGATTGTAGAATTGGTGTAAAAGCCATAGTACATCACTGTGTCCTGAAAATAACCCTGAAAGGAACAATAAACCCTAGGTCAGGTACATTTCTTGAGACAAAGATGAATGAGTATGGTCTGCAGAGTTAACCTCTTTTGTCTGTCAGAAGCACAGGTTAGGCAGCTTGTTTCATCGGCCAGGGAAGGAACACCTAAGGCCACTAAGACTCTACATGTTTTATCACTAGGCATTCAGAGTTGGGAGGTGATCCCTGACCAACAAAACTTTCCATTGGAGGTATCAGCCTGTCATCAACGGATGCTAGTAACCAAATGAACTCAAAGTGGGACAATCAGCCATTAAGTGCTTCAGTCATCTTTTAAAAGGTCCCTGGTGGTACACGTGGTATGCAATCAGCTACCAACCAGAAGGTTGACAGTCAAACCCAATTAGTGGTGCCATGGAACAAAAGCCTGGAGATCAAATTCCATAAGGATTACAGTCAAGAAAACTATGGAGCCTAGTTCTACTCTGTAATATACAGGGTCACTAGGAGTCTGAATCAATTTTGTGGCAACAGATTTGGTTTTTTAATGGGGTTACCTACCAAGTGTTATGATAAAACATGTTCAGTATCATTCAGCCATAAAGAGAAAATAAGTCTGATACATGCTACAGCCTGACTTAAGTAAGTAAAATAAGTCAGGCACAAAAGGACAAATATTGCATGAGCCCATTTATATAAAGTATTGAGAATGGGAAATGCTTATTACTAGTTACCAAAGTTTATTAGTGGTTATGGGAATTGGGGTGGGTGGGAGGGAAAAATGAGGTGATATTGCTTAAGGGTTACTGAGTTTCTGTTAAGGGTGATGAAAGAAACTGGAAATAGACTAGTGATGGTTGCGTGACACGGGAACGTAATTAACATCTATTTTGGTTTTCTAGTGCTGCTTTAACAGGAATACCACAAGTGTATGACTTTAACAAACAGGTGTTTATTCTCTTACAGTTTAGGAGGCTAGAAGTCCAAGTTCAGAGTGCCAGCTTTGGGGGCTACGTGAAAGCCCATCTAACTTGGGCTTCTGCTCTGCCTCTTGCTCCCAGCCCGCTGAAGCTGTAGACTTCTCTTAACTCAGGAAGCTGCTGGATGCTGAGGCCGACAAAGGTTGACAAGTAAAATGGCACAGTCCCAAGATTATCAAGCAACACTTCAGGCTGCTAGTTCAAGTCCAGAAATGTCTCAAGATCAGCAGACAACATGGCAGGCCACTGAGATGAAGACTCAACCAAATGCAGGATCCAGATGTGCCAAAAAGCTCAGAGACCTTCCTCAAAGCTTCTTAGATATTGGAAGCAGACCACATCCTTGAGGCAGCTACTCAGCTGCTCATAATAGTTTCGACCATGGAATTTACTACCAGTCTCATTATGGGGAATAACTACATCCAGCTGCCCAGCTGCTCAAACCAGGTCCAGCCAAGCTGACATATAACCTTAACTACCACAACATCACTGAATTATACACATAAAAATGACATGGCAAATGTTTTGTTATATATGTTTCATGACAATAATCTTTTTTAATGTTCAGTATGAAACAAATCAAGCCTTTAGACCTAACTTGCAGTTTACAAGAAATAAAGTGCTAGATAGGATGATCTCAGATGGGGGACTAGGCAGATATACTATTCAGACCCTCTCCAACAAAGTCAGGGATCTCTGGTAGCATAGTGCCCAAGACACTTGACTGCTAACCAGAAGGCTGGTGGTTCAAAACCAGCAACTACTCCTTGGAAGGAAAGTTGGGGAATCTACTTCCATAGTGATACTGCCTTGGAAACCCAAGAAGGGGTCGCTATGAGTTGGGTCTGACTCGACAGCACATCACAACAACAAAGTCTTGAAAAAACAAGAGAAAGGCTATGGATGACAATCCTGGATCCCAGAGCTTCAAAGGAAAGACTTAAGAAGTAGATCAAATACCAACAAAAGCAAGACACTGAACAAAAACAGTACACAAGGAGCAGTAAACTACCAACTGGCACAGCATGGTCATTTTGAACCATTGCAAGCAGTGTTCTAATTGCAGCAGGAATCAGATAACTGGCTTCACTTGCCCAGGAATGCAATAACACCCAGATCAGTCGCCAGGAAACCAGACAGGTGTGTCATTCCTCCTTACTTTGCACAACTTCTTGGTGACTAGAGGTACACCTTCCCCCAGCGTCTACCCACCTGGCAGTCAGTCAAAATCCTGCCATTGACAGTGATATTCCACTTTTGTTTTCATTTTCAAACTTTCTCTTTAGTTCTTCCCTTTTCTTTTTCCAATTTTTTCTTTCTCTTTCCTTGCCATTTTTCTTTTTTTGGATCCTGCACAGTGGGTGCCCCCTCCCACACCACTCATACAGCAGTATCCTCCAACGCCACTTCCTGGTGGTGCATACCGAGGCGAATCTAGTGCTGCATTCCTGGGCAATCATGTTTGGTGCTTTTGCTGTATTGTGCTACTTTCTTTCTTTTTTTCCCCTTCTTCTTAGTTGTTCCCCCTTCTTCCACTTATTTTCTTCTTCTTTCTTCCTCTTTGCCACCTCTTTCCCTTTTTTTCTTTTTGATCCCGCCCACCCCTCTGTAGTCAGCAGCACCCGTCCCTACCCCTTCACTGACAGTGACGTGCACTCCCCTGGAGTGAGCTCCTTGTTCTTGCTGTAGCTGTGTTAGATGGGTAATGCTTGCATAAGTTTTATCTTTTTCTTTCTTCATTTCTTCTCAGTCCTACCCTCTTTCTTCCCTCGCTAGTTTTCTTTATCTTCCATTTCCCCATACCTTTATCTTTTTGTTTTGATCCAGCTGCGTGAGTACCTCAGTCCCCAGCACTTCCACATTCAGTAGTGCCTCCTGACCCTCCGTATTCAGCAGTGTATGCTCCTGCAGAGCAAGTGCCACCTTTTCACTGCAGCTGTGTTTGGTGGCTACCACTTATAACAATACTGTGCCACATTTGTTTAATTTTTTTCTTTCCTTTTTTCTTTCTTCTTCTGTCTCCCTTCATTCCCACTCTTGTTTTTCTTTTCTTTTACTTTTCCATATTTTTCTCTCCCCTCCATCTTTCTTTTTCTTTCTCTATATCTTTCCAGTGACCCTACCCAGCCATACCCACCCACACCTACTGTCCCACCCACTGGGCAAGTGCCACCACCTAATCTAGCACCACTGGACTGAGGACAGATGGTGGCCAACACTTGCTCAGCCTGCTCTCAGCTGCTCTGTGTGATAAGTGACCAGCGACTCATGCTTCCAGTCTCATGTTCTACCAAATCCAACCAGAGACAGGTGGTGAGTGCCTCAGTGCTACCGAACTACTAACCAGAGTAACATACCTGTCCTATTGCCTGGATATATTAAAACAGGACAAAAGGAAAAATCATGGTGGGGGAAATCAACATACAATCAATAAATTAATACACTAACACTGCAACGTTTCAGAAACAACAAACAACTTCAAATCATAAATAAATAAATAAAACAGAGCAAGATGGCTCAAACAAGTGACCAAAATACAGGTCCAGAAAATCTTCTAGGGGAAGAAATTCTATTGGAACTACCAGAAAAGGAATTCAAATGAATTGTGTTTAGATACCTTCAAAAGATTGAGAAAAGTTTGAGGAAACCAGAAAAATTAAGAAAAACACAGACAAAACTCTAGAAAATTAGAAAAAAATACAAGAATAAATTGACAAAATAAATAGAAAAATAGAAATCATACTAAAACTGCAGATAGAAATCCAGAAGATTAGTACTAACATTTCAGAAGGACAAAGTAGTAGAATTTAATCAATGGAACACAGAATTAGCAATATTGAAGACAAGTCTCTCAACACTAAGGAACAATCAGAAAAAAAAAAAAAATGCAGAAAGCCTAAAAACTTGTAGGGCACTATCAAGAAGAATAAGTTACATGTGATCAGAATCCCAGAACAGGAAGCAAACTCAAAAACCCTCATTGGATTTCTGAGCTGGTAAATCTTTCCAGAAGTAGATTGCCTCACCTTCCTTCCATGGAGTGCGTGATGAGTTTGAACCGCCAACCTTACAGTTAGTAGTTGAATGCTATAGAGACTATTCCACAAGAGCTCCTTAGAATAGGAAGAGACAAAAAAACAAAACAAAAACAAAAACAAAAACCTCCAAGAAAGCTGTTGAGGATTTGTTGGAAGAAAACCTCCCTAATATCCTGACAGGAAGATATACATTCAAGAATCTCAATGAACCTCAAATAGGATAAACCTCAGAAGAAAATACAAGACATATCATAATCAAATTTCCAAAAACCAAAAACAAAGAAAGACTCCTGAATGCAACTTGAGAAAGATGAAAAGTCATCCACAAAGGAGAACCAGTAAGACCAAGCTCTGAGTACTCAGCAGAAACCATGCAGGCAAGAAAGCAAATGGGATGGCACACGTAAAACCCTGAAAGAAAAAGCTGCCAACCAAGACTTATATATCTAGCAAAACTGTCCCTCCAATATGATGGCAAAATTAGGATATACCCAGAAAAACAGAAATTAAAGGAATTACCAACACCCAGATGAACCTTATAAGAAATAGTAAGGGAAATCCTTAGGATAGAGAACCACCAATGGCAGACCACAACCAGAGATTAAGGCACCATCTGTCCTCAGTCCAGTGGTGCTAGATTAGGTGGTGGCACTTGCCCAGTGGGTGGGACAGTAGGTGTGGGTGGGTATGGCTGGGTAGGGTCACTGGAAAGATATAGAGAAAGAAAAAGAAACACAATGTGTAAAACACATTGAAATCAACCCAGATATAGAACTGTCAAAAATAAAATCAACCTACAATACTGAAAACAGGGAATCTGAGATGTCAATTTGTAAATGATGATAATGACAAAGCAAAAAGAGGGAATAAATGATGTAATTACAGAATTTCCAAATGCAGAGGAAGTCAAGAAAACATAAATATAAAACAGACTGCTTTAAACTTGGGAAGATAATAAATGAAAGGATAACCCCAAAGAAAATTAATAAACCTTCTTCCAAAGTGAAAAG